AACTCAGATACACCTAGTTGTCCATTGATTGATATATTAGAAATATCTTTAATATTTTTACGAAGAACCTTTTAAAATATTGGTCTAGTACTGATTTCGGAAGTAGTCTTTGTTGTTTTACATCTATTGTCAAGTCCTTATTTACTTAGAATACATTTTATGCTGACCATTCAATTATATGAAAAACTAGTGGAACCCCTTCAAACTGAGACAAACCTGGTTGGCCATGCCTACTTGTTATTAGATGGACTGCATATTTTGGCTATACACTATTCATTCAAATGCTCAAATCTACTATTTCTCTACCTATTGACATGGTGACATCTCCATATTGTTGTATCTGCATTTTTATATGATTAGGCTTTTGAGCAATATTTTTCAGATTCTTAGAATTTCTGTATTGACACATTCTGTTTATGCAGACTGAACCCTGAAAGGATAGGTGGTGATTTTAAGCACGAAATTCAGGTACAAATCTGGAGTTCTGGTTTTGATTAACATCCGGTGAAGCTGTCCACGGAGTTTACCATGTAACTAATGTAGTTTGCTTTTGTAAATGGGTTCAGGTTCATAGTGGTTTTCTGAGTGCCTATGATTCTGTTAGGACAAGGCTTATGTCTCTCATTAAACAAGCTGTTGGTTACAGGTAAATCATGCCGATGAAAGAAAAGAAATTTCTGCGAGAATTGCATTTGTGATGTTAGAGGTTGTTTTTTATTTTTCATCGGAATCTATAATGCTAATAACTATCTAAAAATTTGAACCCTGCATGCTTTACAACTGAATAATTCCATAAGATGAGACATATGTAAAGGGCAAGGAATTTCTTAAAGGAAACAGAAGCAATCGTATATATGCTTTTGTTTGTGAACTTGTATCATTAAGGCCTCCATTTATTATTGAGCATCATCATAGCCATAGACATCCTTTTGCCTCAGTATTATGTCATAGTCACTAATTAAATAAAACATATGGCAGAGATGAATCTCCGGAGTTGCTCTCGAAATGGCATATTTATGTGACTGGACATAGTTTGGGTGGTGCGTTGGCTACCCTTCTGGCTCTTGAATTGTCATCAAGTCAATTAGCAAAGTGAGTTCTTCCTTCGTCTTGATATTGTGCTGCCTTGTATCTTCTGAATTATCCATGTCTGCCATTAATAAGGCAGCAGATATGCTGATTTATCCATGTTTTCCTTTCTTATATCTTTATGTACCAATTAATCAGTATTAATAGGCGTAATAGGTATTCCCTTTGATTTCAAGTTAACACGTATCATTCTAAATCTATATTTTTGGGCTTATCAGTAAGCCAAATGGCAAGCTGAGTTATATCTTTGCATTGTTTTGACTGCTCCATATGTCTTATTAATAAAATTTCAATCAATAATATTATCCTGCTACATCTGCTGTTTGTTTTCAAAGGTGATTGCTGTTTCAAGGTTCATATGTGATAGTTTGGAGTCTTTGGATTTCGATACATAATTCATCGATCAGTTTACTTCATTCATATACATGCATAATGTCATGCTTCTGTCTTTGATTTCACTCATGCTACATGCATAATGGCGTGCTTCTGTCTTTGTGTATAAAACTTTTGGATGTTTCCATTGAGATTCCTACTTATACGTTGGTGCAAACGTAGACAAACAAGATCATATTGTTTCTTGAGACAAACAACGTCATATTGACTTCATAAAACTAAACTATATTATTTCGCCTTTTTATTCTTATATTGGTTGTTCAATACATTCTAGGTTGTGTGAGTTTTCCTGGTGAATTTAATTTCAACAAATGTAATCTGTTCCTTTCTCTCTCTCTCTCTCTCTCTCTCTCTCTCTCTGTGACTAGGCTCGGAGTTATTTCAGTGACCATGTACAATTTTGGATCTCCTAGAGTTGGAAACAGAAAATTTGCAGAGGTTTACAATGAGGTGATTGATGTTTATTCTTTTCAAGCACCAACGTGGGACTGCAAAAGACAAGGGCCTAATTGGGGCTCTATTTCTTGTACAGCTTATTTCTTCATTGGCCTAAAATCTTTCAGCATTAGAAACTAAGTGAATTTTTAAAAGGATGCCACATTGAGCTTGTCGTAATAGAAAAGAAGTGTCTTAAAAGTTACATTAATCTACTTTCACTTGTGAGGATGAGAGTTCTCCAAATTTTCAAATGTTTCATTCTCCGACTACTGTCCCAAAATTATGGTACTTTTTAGGCAATAAATTGAGGACTACTTTTTTCTTTCGTAGAGTTCAAAACATTCTATAGATATCATGTATGTACTGCTCAAACTACCACTTTTAATCGATGACATGTATTCAATACTTGTTTCGGGGCTCCTGTCACTTTATTTCATTCACATGTTTTGCAAGTTATTGTCTTCCTGCTCTTTACCAGCACAAGTATTTTATTTATGTGTAACGAGACAACTCATATGAGGTCATTAATTTTTAAATCTAGTCGTCTTTTCCAAATATACATTTTTGCTCATAATCCTCTCTAGTTGACGTACTAAAATTGTTATTTTATGGTAATTTTGAGTTAAATCTTCCTTTGTGATGGCAGAAAGTGAAAGATAGTTGGAGAGTTGTGAACCATAGGGACATAATACCAACAGTTCCACGTTTAATGGGCTACTGTCACGTAGCTCAACCAGTTTATTTGGCTGCTGGAGATCTAAAAAATTCAACCGTGAGTATCTGGCTCAAGTTAATATTTCCTGAAAATGAAGTTTTTTTTCTCGAAAATTCACTTAGTTACACACATTTTGTCCTGTATGTATTTGACAAAAACGCATGTGGTGCAGGAGGATGTGGATGCTTTGGAGGGTGGATATCAAGGTGATGTTATTGGAGAAGCAACGCCCGATGTTCTTGTCAGCGAATTTGTATGTTCTCTTAGTCTTTATCCATTCATATATCCAACTTCCATTTTGTTTTAATTTCTGGGTTTTTTATTCACATGGGCCATAATCACTCCCAGAGCAAATTAGTCAAACATGTTCATGGGAAGAAATAAGAAAGTTGGGGCACCAAACCTATAATTAATAATTTTTCCTATTATTATTAATCTTTGTTATATATTGTTAAAAAAATAATAATTTAACGTAATCCAAAAATTTTTGTGAGTTATTCAGCACCTTTTGAACTAACAAGAACTGTTTTTGATTNGAGTTCTCCAACAGATAGTGGAGCCAAATTCCTTTACATAGCAAGTAAAAAATAATATATTTTCTAATTAATATAAAACACAATTAACAACTACTCAATAAGAAAACTATTATTTCTAGTTAACAACTACTCCCTCCTTTTTTTAATAGATGTCGTTTTGAGAAATTGCACACTAATTAAGAATAATTTTTTTGCCAATAATAACCCTCATTAATGAGGATAGAGATGGATATTTTGAAAAAATATAAAGAGTGAATATGAAAGGACATAGTGTATTTATTAGCTAGATAAGGGTAATAATGGAAAAATATGTACAAAAAATCCAAAACGTCATTTATTTAAACAATTGTTGATAAAGCCAAAATGACATTTATAAAAAAAAGGAGGTAGTACTTAATAAGAAAATACAATTAATAACAACTCAACCACAGTAAAAATAAAAGCATTTATATTTTTATTAATTTTTTTTTAAAAAAATACTACAAAAAGTTTGTACTATTTTTTCAAATTATATAAACTACTTAGTTGTACAAATTATTTAATTCTAATTTTAAATTCTAATGTTTGGCTAATGGAATTCAAAGAAGTTTTACATAATTTTGAATAATATTACAAACTTTTTGTAGTGTTTAGTTTTTCAAATTCAAATTAAAAAAACACAAGTGCTTTTACATTTTTACTGCAATTAAATTTTCTTACCAACTAGTTGTTAATTGCATTTTTTATCAAATTAGAATATAGTATTTTTTTACTTGATATTGATATGTAATGTATAGGAGGTTGACTTTATTGTGGTGCCAACTGTTGGTTCCATAGCAAAACTATTCATAAAGAATAGTCATATGTACTTGTGCATTTGTGTTTTGTTCTTACTGAAGTACTAAAGATAGTTTAGATTCGGTTTGAATTTTGTTTGGGATCAAACATAATCCAGTGATATGCATTTGAGCTTAGAAATACCCTATTCACATAGTTAGCAACATGCGTACATCTTTTTGTGATGGCCTGGCCAGGCATACTCTCAATTGAAAAACCGTGAATTCGATCAACATTATCTAACCTAAAAGACTAAAAATGTAAAATCATTAGTTTTCTCAAATGTGTTGATTGTATTGGGGTATACAAGGGCATAATAGCAAAAATCCCATAAAACAAAGAATGCCAAAAATAATCACTTGAAACTAATACAAACTGAAAATCTATTTTGTCAAACATTGCATCCCTCATTGGGAAAGGTTCTCGCTTCAATGGCACACTTCCCACTTGGAAAAATGTCCCAGGATATGAAGGACTTGAAAAACAATTCTTGGAAATGCAGGTCAGTTGGTGAATTGTGATGGCGAAAGTAAAAAAGGACTAACATTTTTCTATTTTCAAATCCTTACAAAAGAGGACATGTTCCTTCTTCTAATAAAATGTATGAACGAATACTATCAATGAAAATTTTCAAGCTCCAGTTAGAGATAAAAAAACATGGACAAAAGAATAACTGCACAAAAAACTCCTGAACATGTAATCAGAGGTGCTTGTCGGGTCACCTTTTTGATGGTCCTCCAGAAGAGAGCTTCATGATCCATCCCAAGACCCTCTCTGCCACCTAGTTCAAGAAAATATATGGTTTTACCAAGAGGAGTTCTCCTCATACAACTCAAATTGTTATTAACATGTTTTTCTCCTGTACTTTAGACATGAATTAAGCATTTGTCATGCAGATTTCATCTTTAGTTCCTTGAAGTTGGCTTCTCCTCCTCTAGTATCAAGGGGAAGGCTCCTGCGAGCTCGAGTGGAGCTCTCTTTGAAAGACCTCTTGGATTTGGTCCGCTGAAACAGACTGCCAAGCCCAACACACTGTTGGGGTTCTATGAGGAACATCCTATTGGTGCAAGCCACAGACTAACCTAAAAAGTGAACCTAATCGCAGCGGAACTAAGCAAGGGTTGAACACATATAATTTAAAATTTTACAGATTCTAAGACAACTACACGACCTACGGGGCCGAACGAACAAAGATTATCTTCTCACCTTCATCCTCCTCCTTCTCAGTGCGTCGGATCGCTGCTCGTCAGGAGTCGCGCGTCGCCGGTGTGTGTGTATCAATCTTCGGACGTGGTGAGGGGTTTGCTCGGTTGCGGCGTGCATCGCACTGTCACTGCGAGCGTACTGGGTCGGCTGGCATGGCGTGCGCGGCGTCATCCGGCTATGTGCAGCTGCAGCTTGCGGTGGTCATGCGACCTCAGGTTACCTTTGGACTTCTGTTGTATGACCCCAAACCTTCTTCGTTTGTCTTGGTGGGTGACAATCTTGTAGATATCTTAATTGGAGATCGAAAACTCATAAGATCTCTCAAAGTCATATGTTATGTTTTACTTATGTGTCTTAGGCATATGGAACTCCCAAGGGAAGTGATGTATTTATAGACTACAATAGGGACCCTAAGTGGACGCTAAATATGGGTTTCTCAAGTATGGGTCTAACTATGGGCCTGGCCCACTTTGCTCATACTTGAATAAAATTCAGTCCACTAAGAAAATATTATTCCACTCCTCATTTAACTTCCAAATTACATTTGAGGCTCCAATTATAATTACTCGATTTACCCCTCTATGTGAAAGATATAATGTCCATCAGTTAATTTAATTACTGACAATACAATTAATTAACATCTTGAACCGAAGTTAGTTCCAGTCGAATCTTTATATGCCGGAACTCAATTCGTCTGCAGAGCTTAACATAACTCACTTCGAGGACATCATCATACTAAGGCACATGGTGACCATAAATAATCAAACAACACACGATGCACACAACATCACTACCCAACTCACCTAGACTATTGATACAACATAATGAACCTCACTTTTTATTGAATCAAAATAGAAGCTACTGTGTGCACGTGTTTGTTATTATCTTACAGGTTAAGAATACGCAGTAACTAACCAAGGTCTAGTTTTTTTACTTGGTTAGTGTTGTAAATATTTTTACCGGAGTAGAATCGAGAGATTCGAACACCGGGTCGTGTCTCACGAGGAAGGTCAGCCGGAATATTATGCACGTTTATTCAATCACACAAAAGAAAATAAAATTCCTAAACATTCTAATTCAGATGATTTGGCTTGATTATTAACTACGAAGAACAACTTCAAATAAAGCAAATAAAAATAGCACGCAACGACTAAGAACAAGTAGGATTTAAGAAGCTAGGGAGTCGGGGATATCCGTTTTGGTTCGAAAATGCAATATCAAGCAAGAGATTGTTCGGTTAAGTGATTTGACTAATCGACACGCTCAAAGCACTCATTCTCAATAACTTTTCGTAACAAGAGAACAAACTAGAACGGTAAATTAACAATTCATTTAACTTCTAGGCAATACAGTTACGAACAAGCCTAGTTCATACGAGCCTATTTCGACCGACTCTTCCCCTTTCGGTTCTAAGAGTCGATTAAAGTAGACTAGAAGGTGTTTAATCAACTAGTCCGTTTAGAATACAACATCAAGCAAGAATATATCGAACTCAATTGCAAACAATTGGGGATTGAAGTGTCACCCTTCAACAATTCTCAATATTCGAGCCCGACAATTGGAAAACCCTAGAAAAAGATCAACTCGTACAAATTAAACAATCGCGCATATGATAATTGCAAACGAATTCAAAACATCAATCCCCTATCCCTAGCATAAAGATTTAGCTACTCATGGTCGAATAATCAACACAAGCAATCACAACCCAAGAATTCATATTTAACGATTAAGTTAAAAGAAAATTTTACGATTGATAAATCCCAAAGTTGAATCCGATAAACAAGCTTGAATACAAAAGCAATAGCAAAATCCAAGATCAAATCCTTGTTCTACATTCAAAAATATTAAAAGAGAATGAAAAACGAGTGAAAGAACGAGAGTAGGGTTTTTTTGGTTCTTCTCGTTGGTCGAGAGAATGAGAGATATCCCATATGTCGCAGACTGATCTCATATTTATATGTTCAGGGACTCACGGCGCGAGGAGATGGATGCACGGCACGGAGAGATAATGTGCTGCGGCGCGGCACTACAACGCGGCGTGGCGGGCGCTGAAGCTGACTCTCTCTACGGGCGCGGCAGATGTCACGTTTTGTCCCACGGCGTGAAGGCTGGGAGTGGCGCGGCGTGAGAAGGTGCAGCCGCGCGGAGGACTACCTTGCCACAACGTGGGAATATCATCGCGGCGCGGAGACTAGGGATGCCGCGGCGCGGGCTTCTCAGCGGCGTGGAGTGCGGAGCAGCATCTTCTGAAGGCCCGTGGCGGGTGTCGCGGCGCGAGGGCCTGGCGCGGCGGTCCGGGCAGCTTGCTCGACTTAGTTTCTCGGGCTCGTTCGGGTTCGTCTGGACTCAGAATTTAATTCCGTTTTTTTCCTGTGTGTTGCCAACGAATAGTTCTATGCAATTGTGTTCACCCGGTCCAATTATCATAAAAAAAATAAATTCTCCCGAACCTTCCATCCTGCACACCAAAGACGAGAAATACCGGAAAAATACCAAAAACAAAACGCAAGAAGACCAAACGAGAATAAGACACACAATAAACTACAAAGCGAGTAAAAGTTAATGAAAAGACCTAATATGGGGGAAAAATAAAGGAAAAATAACAAGAAAAAACGCAACAAAAATGGGACAAACAACTCCCCCACACTGAAACCTTTGTTCGCCCCGAACAAAAAGACGCGAAAAGAAAAGAAAACAAGCAAACGAGCATGGACAACAGTTTCAAATAAGACAAGCTTCAAATTAATCAACTCAGTCGAGGAGATTTCCAATGACCAATA